CTACCCTCCTCCCTCCCCTCCTCCCTCGCCTCCTCCCTCCCGTCCTTCCTCCCATCCTTCTTCCCCTCCCCTCCTTCTCTTCTACCTCCCTCTCCCTCTCCCTCTCCGTCGTCGCTGTCGTCGCCGTCGTCGTCGTCGGCGGCGGCGTCGGCGGCGGTGGCGGGCGGGCGGCGGTAGCGGCGTCGTCGTCGTCCTCCTCCTCCTCCTCCTCCTTCCCCTCCCAGTCCTTTTCCTCCTCCTCCTCATCCTCCTCCTCCCCTCCTCTTCCTCCTCCCTTCCTCCTCCCTTCCTCCTTCTCCTCCTCCTCCTCGTCCTCCTCCTCCTCCTCGTCCTCCTCCTCCTCCTCCTCCCTCCCTCCTCCTCCTCCTCCTCCTTTTCCTCCCTCCTTCTCTCCTCCTCTGCCTCCTCCTCCTCTTCCTCCTCCTCGCTCGCTCGCTCGCTAATTGCCGGCCTACGGGATTCGAAGCCCATACGTAAAGGGTTAGGGATAGGCGAATCCAGTATCCCCTAACATGCACATGCAGAAAGATTGGAGGGTGACGAGGGCGACTTAAGTGACGAGGATGCTGTCCTTACCCACACGGCTTCGGCGAGCAAGGCCGAGATCAGTCTAACAAGCGTGGCAGTGGTCGAGCATTCGCTCATCACCCTAGTTCGCCTGTGAACGCACGTGTGCAGACACATACCACGACAGAAGTTCGAACGGACGGCGTCCTAGGAAGCAATACCATGGACTAACAAAGTGCAAGGATTCAAGAGCCTGGCACCAAAGGAGCAACCATCGAAGTCGGACCAGATAGTTCCTGGAAGCTTAACCAGCATCTCCACTCGAGGCATCCATATTAAATCGGGTCCTCGATAAGCTCTCCTTGGCAATCCAAATTCATCAGATATGTCTTGGAAACAACAACAGAGACACAATTCAATAGCGGCCTAGAGGTACGCATTGTCGCGACTGATGCGTTCAGCCAGCTTGTCGTTGTTGCGTGGGTGTTCCCCCGTGTGACCGTCTCTTCTGCTCACTTCATCCCTCCAAGAGCTACAAGAAGGTTCCAGAAAAAGTGCAGCCACACTACCCTCAGAGATCCTCCTCCTCCAATCCTTGATCTCCTGGGGGACAAGGAAGGACAGAGTAGTGGAGAGGTGCTGACTGCGTCTGTGACAAGCGCTCCTGAACGCTCGCCTGTTGGGAGAATCCTCCTCCCACTCTCTTCCAGCATATAGAAAAGCTCGCATGCGTTCTCAACTGAACTGGGTTGGACGGCAGACTCGAATTGTCCGTCTAAAGGTCGGCAGGGGCAAGAGGAGGAATGGCCTGGAGCTCTCAGGGCCTCTTGACCTAAAGGGAGGTCCTTGCACTCTCTGAGCAGGGATGCTGGCACGGGTGCCGGAGAAGCCTTGACGTCTACTCTCTCTCTGGCCTTGTCGTGCCTCCCATTGGCAGCAGTCGCAGCTTCCTCGGCCAGAGGGTCCCATCGGGGAACTAAGCCAGGCCTGGAAGCACGAAGGGGCCCTCCCGAGGTGCTTCCGAAGTCCTGTTGCCCTCCCAGAATTCCCAACAACAAATCGGACACGTCGATCCCGTGGCAATCGCGTCGGGGGTGTCAAGGCCTTGATGAGCCTTGGTGTGTGCGAAATAGACGCAGCGTCTTGGCCACGTGGCCGCATTCATAGCAAACGTCTCCGCCATGTGGCGGGTCTGGCGGTGCTGGCGCAGCCAACAGGGCACGCTGCTCGGGGTACCGAGAAACTTCAGCCCCCTATCCCTCGCCCTTAAGATCATTATGTCACAGGCTGTGTGGCCCGAAAAGTTTAAACCCCCTATCGTTGTTCTGTGCGTTGACGTCAAATGGGTCATACGATTGAGTGTGTCTGAAGCTGCGCCTAAGTTCTGCCTTCCATAGTAATACCTGAGAGGTTATGTTCCATTGCTTTTTGGCTGCACTGGCCGACCTGGATATGATCCTCACATATTCCTGTGTTGTATCACGAGCCACCCGTATCTCATCATCATCATCCAGGCCAAGTGCGCCTGCCCCTGGTCCCATAAGACACCCAGCCAATGAACATCATTTCCTATTATTCTGGTCCATCCACCGTTCCATTGGAAGTCCAGCAACATCCTCAGCACTAGCGATCCTCCATGTATAATTCGAGGCACCAATCTCAGCCTCGCAACTGAAATTACCCCAGTGCGACCCTGCCTAGAAGTTGGAGCCCCTAGGAAAGCAGCAGTAGTTGCTATGCTATGCTATGCTATGCTATGCCATGCTATGCTGCGTTATGCTATACTATGCTATACTATGCTATGCTGCGCTATGCTATGCTATGTTATGCTATGATATGCTGAACTATGATATATCATGATGTGCTGTGCTACGCTAAGCTACGCTATGCTATGTTATGCTATGCTAAGCTGCGCTATGTTATGCTAAGCTATTCTATGATATGCTGTGTTATGCTATGCTATGCTGCGCTATGCTATGCTATGCAATGCTATGGTATGCTTGGCTATGTTATGCTATGCTATGCTATGCTGATGCAACGCTGCGCTATGCTAAGCTAAACTAAGCTAACCCTATAGACAGAGCCTAGGTAGGGAATTACACCCATGGTATGCTGTGCTATGCTTTGCTGCGCTGCGCTGTGCTATGCTGTGCTGTGCTGCTCTATGCTATGCTATGCTATGCTATACTATACTATGCTGCGCTATGCTATACTATGCTGGGCTATGCTACTATATGCTGTGCTGCGCTATGCTATGCTATGCTATGCCATGCTGTGCCCTGCTATGCTAAAGCTCAGCGAAGCTAAGATGAAGGTAAGCTAAGCTAAGATAAGCCTGAGCTAAGACGAAGCTAAGCTAAGCCAATCTGAAATATGCTAAGCTAAGATGAGATAAACAACGCTAAGCTAAGTGGACGCAACTGGGGGAACCGCGGGGCGGATCCTGGGGGAACCGCCCGGGGCGATATCCACTGCCCGGTCCCTTTAAGCTAGAGGGTAAGAACCCTTCTAGGCAGAGCCTAGGTAGGGAATAACCGATCTGATTGGCAACCTGTTTACGTTGAACAGTGTGCCTATCGTCGCTGCCTGTACCTCGCTCGAGTTTGTGATTCCAATATTCAATGGTGTTCGGTAGATGCTCATATATCCAGTGATCGCCTTGGCATTGAAGTACTTGGGTAAAGGATCCCAGGTGTCCGCTGCAAACAAGAACTTGGGCCCGGCATACGCTTCACTGGATCTCACCTTGTGCGTGACTCCAAATGCATGGATGGTGCCACCACTTTCTTGATTGGTCTAAGTGCTGTCCTTGCCGATCGTATCCGCTCCGTTATCTTGTCCCCCATGGATCCTGAGCCATTGACGCGAGCTCCTAGCACTTTGTGGCTGCGAACAATGGGTAGCTTGACATCGAACAGCTCACTCACCAAGACACTACCGCCTACCGCCTGACTTGTAATGCTTCCTCGCTTCAAGTCTGGATCCCTTTCCATTGAGCGACATTGGCGCAGCTGTTGTACTGAAGTGAATCTTGCAGCCGTGCTGGGATGCAGCAGTGTATATTATCTCTTCAAGTCGACTGAGCTTCGCTTCGATCTCTGCTGTTTTGGCTGCGGTGAGTGCTGTGGGGTCGTCCACGAGAGAAGTGCTGGTGTACGGTTTTCATTGTCAGCAGCTGAATCAAAATAGGCTACTGAAGGTGGTGGGGTCCAAACAAGTCCTTCAGATACGGCCATCTTCTCAATGCGTCCCTCAACTCTGGCAAAACTGACATGCAGCATGTCCGTAGCAGGTATCGTGCCAGGACAGCATCCTCTCCCAGGACAAGCGAAATCCGACGCACCCCTCACCCGCTAAAAACGGCTCGTGTGGCTCTGTCGAATCAAGTGGAGAAGGTGTGGGGGGCATGCCCACACTATCGAGAGGCCCTCCAGAGGTCAGCTCGGCCTCCAACCCCGCTTGAAGAAAGGGGTTCACCTCAACGTGCTGGAGCGCGTCTTCGAGCCTGCCCTGCCCAGCAGGGAGAGAGAGAGAGAGAGAAAGAGAGAGGCACAACTGCTTGAGGCCAGAATAGAAGGCCGCGTCCAGGTCAACAGAGACCCCCCCAGGAGACATCGAGCATTCACGCAACGCATTACAAAATTGTCACACCATCAGGATCGCACTCTCCAATCCTCGTCCAGGGAGCCCTCCACACTATATCCGCAGCAACGCTTTTTGCACACACCCCATCGCAGCGATACGGAGAGACATGTGGTGAACTTTACCAATGGTGCTTCCAAGAAACACGTTCCTCTGATTGCTCATGAGGTTGGTGGCCCCCTTCCCCTTGTGATAAAAAAAAACGATCTTCCCGCTTTTGAATCCCAGAGGCTCCTCCTGAAGGAGTGGTTGGGAGCAGCAGAGGATAAACAAGCCGAGAGACAGGTCCCTGAGCGATTTTGCCAGCACCCCGATGATCCCGTCCAGGCCCGCGAATTTGTCCGATGGGCTCTTCCTCATCAGCCCTTCGGTTTCAAAGAGGAAAGGAAGGGCCTCGGCTTGAGGAGTCTCTGACGGCCACGCTGCAATCATTATAATCTTCAAGAAACACTTGCTGACTGGTTAGTTTGGCGGCTTCCACGTTGGCAAACAACCTCTGGGCAACTTGCGCAATCTCAGCCTGCGTCGAGGCAGCTCGGCCCGTGTCATCCAGCATATCAGGAACCCCTCCTCCTCCTCCTCCTCCTCCTCCTCCTCCTCCTCCTCCTCCTCCTCCTCCTCCTCCTCCTCCTCCTCCTCCTCCTCCCCTCCTCCTCCTCCCCTCCTCCTCCTCCTCCTCCTCCTCTCCTCCCTCCCTCCTCCTCCTCCTCCTCCCCCTCCTCTCCTCCTCCTCCTCCTCCTCCTCCTCCTCCTCCCTCCTCCTCCTCCTCCTCCTCCTCCTCCTCCCCCTCCCCGTGTGCGGGCTTCCCCCGCCCCGCCGGCGAGCGCCCGCGCGCGTGGCGCCGCCGCAGGCTCGGCGGCCGATGGCGCAGTATGCGCGGCAGCAGTGCCCCGCCTGCGCGGGGAGGGGGTGCGCTCCAGGAGGGGGAGAGAGCAGGAGGAGGAGGAGGAGGAGGAGGAGGAGGAGGAGGAGGAGGAGGAGGAGGAGGCGGAGGAGGAGGAGGAGGAGGTGGAGGAGGGTGAGGAGAAGGAGGAGGAGGAGAGGGAGGAGAAGGAGGAGGAGGATTCGGACGAGGAGGAGGCGGAGGAGGGGGAGGATGATCCGGCGGAGGATGATGATGAGGAGGAGGATGACGATGAGGAGGATTAGGAGGATGAGGAGGAGGATGAGGAGGATGAGGATGAGAATGACGATCAGGAGGAGGAGGATGAGGAGGAAGAGGAGGAGGGGGAGGGGGATGGGGAGGGGGAGGGGGAGGGGGACGATGACATTCATGATCATGATGACGATGCTGATGATGATGCTGCTGCTGCTGATGGTAATACTAGTAATGATGATGCTGATGATGATACTGATGATGATGATCATGATCATGATGATGCTGATGCTGATGATGCTGATGATGACGATGCTGATGTTGATGATGACGATGACGATGACGACGATGCTGACGATGACGATGCCGATGAGCACGATGATTATTATTCTTATACTGGCGATGATGATCATGATGGTCATGCGGCTGATTCTGATGATGGGGCTGATGATGATGACGATGATGAGGCTGATGCTGCAGATGCTGCAGATGATGATGATGATGATGATGATGATGATGATGATGATGATGATGATGATGATGATGATGATGATGATGGTTCCGATGAGGATGATACTGATGATGACGACGACGATGCGGCTGCTGCTGATTGATTGTGACGATGATGAGAATTATGCTGCTGATGATGCTGATGATGCTGCTGCTGATACTCATAATGATAATGATGATGTTGATGATGGTGATGCCGCTGAGGATGGTGATGATGAGGATGAACATGATTGCGGCGATGACGATGATGATGATGATGATGATGATGATGCTGATGATGATGATGATGATGGTGCTGCTGCTGATGATGATGATGGTGATGCTGTTTCTGAGGCTTATGATGAGGACGATGATGCTGCTTACGACGATGATGGTGATTATGATGCTGCTGCTGATGATGATGGTAATGATGCTGATACTGATGCTGCTGCTGATGATGATGACCATGATGATTATTTTGATGCTATTGCTGCTGCTGATGATTATGCTGCGGTTGATGCTGATGGATATGGATATGCTGGTTTTGCTGATGATGATGCTGGTTATGAGGATGAGGATTACGATGAGGATGGTGGTGATGATGCTGATGTCGCTGATGATGCTGCTGCAGCTTTTGCAAAGCCTTGTTATGATGTTGATGCTGATGATAATGATGCTGCTGCTGCTGCTGCTACTGATGATGTTAATGACGATGGGGATGACGAGGATGATGCTGATGATGATGTTGCTGATGATGATGATGATGATGATACTGTTGCTGATGATGATGGTGATGACGAGGGTGATGGTGCTGATGACGATGATGCTGCTGCTGCTGATGACGATGATGAGGATGGCGATGGTGATGATGATCACGATGATGATGATGCTGCTGATGCTGATGCTGATGCTGATGCCGATGCTGATGATGATGATGATGATGATGATGATGATGATTAATGCTGCTGCTGGCGCTGCTGCTGCCGCTGCTGCTGATGATGATGCTGTTGATGATGACGATGGGGAGGATGATGCTGACGCTGATGCTGATGCTGATGCTGATGATGATGCTGCTGCTAAGAATACTGATGATGATTTATGCTGCTGTTGCCGCTGCTGCTGCTGCTGATGATGATGATGATGATGATGATGATGATCAGGCTGATGATGCTGATGCTGCTGGTGATGAGGATGATGATTCCGACGATGCTGACGAAGGGGATGATGATGATGATGATGATGATGATGCTGATGATGATGATGATGATGATGCTGACGATGATGACGATGAGGATGGTGTTCTTTATGATACTGCTGAATATGATGCTTGATTAATGCTGTTGCTGCCTCATGCTGCTGCTGATGATGATGCTGATGCCTGTGATGATGATTAGGCTGCTGCTGATCGTACAACTATTATGACTGTTGATGGCGATGGGTGTTTTGCTGGTGATGGGGATGATGATGCTGCTGCTGATGCTGATGCTGATGATGCTGATGCTGCTGCTGATGCTGTTGCTGAGGATGATGTGACTGGTGATGAGGCTGATGATGCTAAAGTTGATGCTGCTGCTGCTGATGCTGCTGCTGTTGATTATGATGACGATAAGGGTGATGATGATGCTGATGATGATGCTGATGATGGTGATGCTGATGATGATCAGGAGGAGGAGGAGGAGGGGGAATACGGAGGAGTCGGAACAGCATGATGTTGATGGTGAGTTTGATCCTGATAATGCTGCTTCTGCTGATGATGATGAGGCTGATGGCGACGACGACAACGATGATGATGCTGATGATGATGATGTTGGCGATGGTGATGGTGGTGTTGATGATGATCAGGATGAAGATGCTGATGTTCATGCTGATGATGATCATGATGCTGATGATGATCAGGCTGATGCTGCTGCTGATGATGATGATGAGGGGGAGGAGGAGGAGGAGGAGGAAGAAGAACAGGAGGAGACAGGGGGGGAGGACGAGGAGGAGGATGAAGCTGAGAATCGAGAGGAGGAGAATGAGGCGGAGGAGGACGAGAATGATGATACTGATGAGCATGATGAACATGATGATGATGATGATGATGCTGATGCTGATGCTGATGATGCTGATGATGGTGGTGATGCTGATGATGAGGATGATGATGCCGTTGATGATGATGGTGGTGATGCTGCTGCTGATGATGACGATGAGGATGATGCCGATGCTGCTGAGGATGATGGTGCTGGTGGCTGTGATAATGATGATGCTGAGGACGATGTTGATGATGATGATGTTGATGCTGATTATGATGAGGATGCTGATGCTGCTGCTGATGCTGCTGCTGATGCTCATGATAAAAGCTGATGATGGGGATGATGATGTTGATGATGATGATGTTGTTGATGATGATGATGCTACTGCTGATGCTCGTGATGCTGATGATGATGCTGCTGCTGACGATGCTGATGCTGATGATGGTACTGATGATGACTCTGATGATGATGATGATGATGCGGATTCTGACGCTGATGATGCTGATGAGGAGTTTGATGATGAATATCATGCTGCCGATGATGCTGATGATTACGATGATGACGATGATGCTGATGATGCTGATGCTGCTGCTGATGATGATGCTACTGGCGGTAGTGATGACGACGATGATGATTATGATGCTGATGATGATGACGATGATGCTGTTGGTGATGATGATGATGATGATGGTGGTCGTGGTGATGATGATGACATCGATGATGGTGCTGCCGATGATGTTGCTGATGATGATGACGACGATGCTGCTGATGATGATGATGCTGATGATGATGATGATGATGCTGATGCTGCTGATGGTGATGCTGGTGGCGTTGGTGATGATGATGATCATGAGGCTGACGATGCTGACGATGACGCTGATGATGCTGCTGTTGCTGATGATGACGATGATGATGATGATGGTGACGTGATGATGCTGATGTTAATGATGATGATGTTGCTGCTGATGATGATGATAATGGTGCTGGTGATGCCGATGATGATGATGACGACGATGCTGATGATGATGCCGACGACGACGACGACGACGATGATGATGATGATGATGATGATGATGATGATAATGATTCTGATGATGATGGTGGTGGTGGTGGTCGTGGTGGTGATGGTGGTGGTGGTGCTGATGATGATGGCGATGATGCTGATGATGATGATGATGATGCTGTTGCTGATGCTGATGCTGATGATGCTGATGATGATGATGATGATGATGATGATGCTGATGCTGATGATGATGATGATGATGATGCTGCTGAGGATGAGGAGGGGGAGGACGATGAGGAGGAGGACGAGGAGGAGGTGTTGGAGGAGGAGGAGGAGGAGATGGAGATGGAGATGCAAGAGGAGGATGATGATGCCGATGGTGATGATGATGATGCTGACGATGATGATGATGATGATGATGATGATGATGATGATGATGATGATGAGGATGAGGATGATGATGATGATTATGATGATGCTGATGCTGATGATGATGCTGATGCTGATGCTGATGCTGATGCGAATGAGGATGATGATGATGATGACGATGATGATGTGATGATGACGATGCTGCTGATGATGATGATGATGATGATGATGATGCGGATGATGATGATGATGAGATGCTGACGACGACGATGATGATGATGCTGATGATGATGATGATGATGAGATGATGATGATGATGATGATGATGATGATGATGCTGATGATGAGGGGGATGAAGAGGAGGAGGGTGAGGAGGAGGAGGAGGAGGAGGAGGAGGAGGAGGAGGAAGGGGAGGAGGAGAATGCGGAGGAGGAGGAGGAGGAGGAGGAGGAGGAGAGGAGGAGGAGGAGGAGGAGGAGGAGGAGGAGGAGGAGGAGGAGGAGGAGGAGGAGGAGGAGGAGGAGGAGGAGGAGGATGAGGAGGAGGAGGAGGAAGAGGCGAAGGATGAGGAGGAGGATGCGGAGGAGAAAGAGGACGGATTAGGGAGGCGGAGGAGTAGGGATGGGGGGGGGGAGGGAGGAGAGAGTAGGGAAGATGAAGGAGGGAGGGTACATGCAGAAGGAGCGGGGAGGAGAAGAGAGGAGGACAAAGGGTGGAGGGAGGAGGGAGAAAGGAAGAGGGATGAGGGTGGAGATAGGAGGGAGGAGGAAGGGGGGATGGAGGGGTGAGGGGGGATGGATCAGGGACGAGGGATGAGGGATGCAGGGATGGGAGGGATGAGGGGGGAGGGATGAGGGTGGAGGGAGGAGGAAGGGGGGGAAGGAGGATGGAGGAGGGAGGGCGGCGGAGGCGGCGGGCGGCGGGAGAGGAAACGGGGGACAGGGCTGGGGGGCAGGAAGAGGGAGGAGGGAGGAATATAGAAGAGGGAGGAGTAGGAAAGAGGAGGGAAGAGGAGGAGGAGGAGGAGGAGGAGGAAGGAGGAGGAGGAGGAGGAGGAGGAGGAGGAGGAGGAGGAGGAGGAGGAGGAGGAGGAGAGGAGGAGGAGGAGGAGGAGGAGAGGAGGAGGAGGGGAGGGGGAGGAGGAGGAGGAGAGGAGGAGGAGGAGGAGGAGGAGGAGAAGGAGGAGGAGGAGGAGGTAGGGGAGGAGGAGGAAGGCGGAGGAGGACGAACTTGATGATGATGATGCTGATTGATGATGGCAATGCTGATAGATGATGACGATGCTGCTGATGCTGATGCTGATTATGATTATGATGATGCTGATGAGGACGACGATGCAGATGATGATGCTGATGATGTTGTTGCTAATGATGCTGATGCTGCTGATGCTGATGCTGCTGATGATGATGATGGTGCTGACGATGATGATGACGATGCTGATGTTGCTGATGATGCTGATGCTGAGTTTGATGACGGTAAATATGATGATGCTGATGATGCCGATGCTGATGATGATGACGATGCTGCTGCTGTTGCTGATGATGGTGATGATGATGATAGTGATGATGTTGACGATGATGATGATGTCGCTACTGATGCTGATGATACTGGTAATGACGATGATGCTGCTGCCGATGATGATGATGATGCTGATGCTGCTGATGATGATGCTGTTGTTCATGATGATGATGCTGATAATGATGCCGATGCTGATGACGATGATGATGATGATGCCGATGCTGATTCTGCTGATGATGCCGATGCTGACGATGATCACGATGCTACTGATGATGATGATGCTGATGATGATGCCGATGATGATGACGATGATGATGACAATGATGATATTGTTGATGATGATGGTGATGATGATGATGATGGTGATGATGATGTTGATGTTGCTGATGATGATGCTGCTGATGATCATGATGCTGATGATGATGCTGCTGCTGATGATGATGATGACGATGATGGTGGTGATGATGATGAATCATGATCATGATGATGATGATGATGATGATGATGATGATGATGATGATATGATGATGATGATGATGATGATGATGATGATGATGATGATGATGATGATGATGATGATGATGATGATGATGATGATGATGATGATGATGATGATGATGATGATGATGATGATGATGATGATGATGATGATGATGATGATGATGATGATCATGATGATGATGATGATGATGATGATGATGATGATGATGATGATGATGATGATGATGATGATGATGATGATGATGATGGCCGCTCTGGCCCCTCCGGTGGCCGCTCTGGCCTCGTGCCCAATACCGCCAGGCGCGCGCCCAGCTGGGGCTTTCGGCGCGCGTCTGGCCTCCCACTGCGCCACTGTCACTGCGTCCCTTGGGGCCCTTCGCTCCTCGGCGCTGGGCCACCCCCCTTGCGCCTCGCCCTGCGTGGGTCGCTCGGGG